GTTATCAGATCGTCAGCCTTCTTTTCCAACTGGCTAATCATCTCCACACTCCCAACGTCACGCTTCTGCCTTCCTTCAGCCTGCAGTGCATCGTGAACATCGGTAACAGCTCTTTGGACTCGAGCTGTAGGTTGAGAAACAAGGAAGTTGACTTATAATAATTATAATCCGTTTTTGCTTTCATGCAATCATAAATTTGTAGGGAAGTTTATGGTAGAACATTTATGCATTTGTCTTTTTCCTCACCTATTCATTCATTTATTCCCTTGTTTGTTCGTTAGTTTGTTCGTCCGTTTGTTGATTACTTGTTCTTCAATAGCTCGTTTGTTGACAAGTTCGGTTGGTCGTTCATGCATTACTTGGTCTTCATTGGCTCGTTCGTTCGTTTGTTCGTCCGTTCGTTCATTCTCCGCTCGTCATTTTTTGTATGTTCGTTGGTTGACTTGTGTCTCCGGTTTGGTCGTTTGTCCGCTCATTGTTTATCGATGTGTTCGTTTGTTTCATTACTTGTGCTCATTCTTGGTTCCTTCGTCCATTAATTGAAAGACTGATGCTGTTTGTTTATATCTTCCCAAACTAGATGAACTTTTTAGTCAAAGGCTTGTATTTTTTTGATACATTCAAATGCACGTGCACATTAAAGCTTAATTAAACGGCCTACCTTTGTATTCCCTAACGGACACACTGGAATTGGAGGGAACTTCGTTGTTCACAACATACTCCATCTGGAGAGGAAAATTATCGAGATTTAACACCTTAATAGAGCCACGTCACGTTATCTTTTAGTTTTACTCAGTTCAGAGGGTCGTCGAAAAGTGATAGTCTTGCACTGTACATGTGCAAGTTCGAAAATTTAAGCTAAAATTTTTCAATTTGGGCAAAATTTTATATACAGACTGCAAGTCATCCAATGTCTTTGCTTGATCACTTAATTGGATTGTTTGAAATGAAGTGTAATCATTATTATCTTCATCATCGTTATCATCTTCTTCATAATGGTCGTAAACGTAGTGTTAAGAGCTTTTGTTACAGTACAATTCTTGACACAGATGGCCTATGTCACACAAGGCGGTTTTCATTTGGGCACTATAGTAAAACTTGTGTTATGTATTAAGAGATATATATCAAACAATAAATGCAAGTAAAAAACCTAAATGCTTCTTCAAAATATCTCAGTCGGAGCTTTCTAAATCAACCTCTATTACCTGACACTTTTCTAAAAGCGTTCTAGGAGTAGTATCTTAGTTCTGTGGATAGGTATTCTGGTCAAAAAGCGCCATTTAGGAACTTTTGTAGTTCACAGAGACAATTATGAGAGCTTCATCGTTACTCAGTTCCTGACGATCTGAGATCATGACTTTTATTTAACTCAATGTTACTACCTGATTTAAGAGGTATCGGAACGGTTTGATGAGGTACTGAAGTTTTCTAAAAATTACAACGAGAAAAGACTCCTTTATTCGCAAGCAAAGCATAATATCATTACCTTATCCGTTACTCCTAAAGCAAGTATGCAACGGATTTATACCCATGACTTAAAAGTACAACAAAATACAGTAAGTTTTGCCCAACAGCATATTGAATATTCGGTATTTCGGTTCTGTTACTCAATAATGGGAACTAGATAATAATCTCATATTATTGGAGACGGCGTGGCCGAGTGGTTAGGGTGCTGGACTTGTAATCCGGTATCCCGGATTCACGTCCCCCACCCTCCCACTCACGAGACTTGTTCTCGGTTGTCCCTAGTTTAACTCCGCGGCTGCGCACTGTAAATAGCCCACTGGTCTGCCTCCTACCAGTGGGGATTTTTAAGCACTTAGTTAGTTCACATTGTGGCTGAAAAGCCCCTAAAGAGGAGCTCCAATTTACGTATTTATTCATTTTATTCTATTTATATAATGGAAAGAGAAAGAAAAATTTAAACTCAGGTTTAGCGATTTACCTCTTTGCATCGGGGGATGGTCCAATAGATGGAAACGCAGCTGTTAAAAAAAGTCCAGAAAAGGTTAGAAACATTATTTGACATCATGCCGTCGCATCTTAGATTAAACTTACATCACTGAAAATAACGCGTGAAGTTTGAGAGGGTATTTTTATTTTGTCGTGAAACTTTATTTAAAACTTGCACATTACTGAATTTAGCACGAGTCGAGAGTTATCTAAGCTTCGGGGAAAGCATTTCTCTGTAAAATTCTGGCGTTTGAATAAATTTACGTCGTTGTTTTCAGCCTTAAGGACAGGTTCTAGAGATAAAACATTTTACATGTTAAACAAGTTGAGGACAAACTGCAGCGAATTTCGTATCCTCGCTCATGAATTTCAGTTAGCGTGAAACGTGATAACTGTTATTTTCATGAAGTTCAATCGAGATGAGGAAAGCTAAAAATATAATCTCTACAAAATCCAACAATACTTACTACCAGCCGTCGGATAAACTGAGCTTGGTCTTGGTGTGGTGAAAACTAATTAAAGGGAAAAAACATAAACGAAAACATTATACTTAAAACTATAAAAGAGGAGACCCATGATAAGAATTTTTCTCATCTCTGTTTTCCACAATATAATCTGATCAGTTCAATTTTAAAACATGGTGAAACCCTAAGAGGCCAATTTTTATTGTAGGTGAATCCTCGATGGTCTTGCATTTGTTCCTGAAAGGTGATACAACTTAAGACTCAATCGAGAAGATAAACGCGCTGCAAGGTCTGATCTCTGAGAAATCCAAGTTTACTTACTAAAGGGCGGACACGGTGTAATGTACTGCTGCTTCCTGAAAAAGCATAACTATCACAGAAAATGATATTTCCTAGAACAGTTTTTAATATGCACCATAATGATTTCTTTCTTTTATACATTATGCAGATTAGATCAGCAGGTAGATCAAACGCACATTTAGCAGAAAGATCCCCTAGTTTCATGCTTGAACCCTGCTTTATGTTACTCACCAAACATGAGCAATGATTTCATCATGCATTCAAACTTTGCTACTAGCTGAATTCAAAGCAACAGTAAAAGATAAATGATCATCTTATAGACGGCTCATCTGTCGGTTTCCCGGGTACACAGTTGTCAACGTTTCCGGGTCAAATTGAAATTTGAAGTGGTGGTTTNCATTATTATCTTCATCATCGTTATCATCTTCTTCATAATGGTCGTAAATGTATTGTTAAGCGCTTTTGTTATAGTACAGTTCTTGACACAGATGGCCTATGTCACGCAGGATGGTTTTCATTTGGACACTATGGTAAAACTTGTGTTATGTATCAAGAGAATTATATCAAACAGATCCAAGGGAAAAACCTAAATGCTTCTTCAAAATATCTTAGTCGGAGCTTTCCAAATCAACCTCTATTATCTGACACTATTCTATAAGCGTTTTAGGAGTAGTCTCTTAGTTCTGTGGATAGGTATTCTGGTCAAAAAGCACCATTAAGGAACTCTTGTAGTTCACTGAGACAATTATGAGATCTTCATCGTTACTATTCCTGACGATCTGAGTTTATTTAACTCAATATTATTACCTGATTTAAGAGGTATCGGAACGCGTTGATAAGGTACTGAAGTTTACTAAAAATTGAAACGAGAAAAGACTCCTTTATTGGCAAGCAAAGCATAATATCATTACCTTATCCGTTACTCCTAAAGCAAGTATTCAACGGATTTATACCCATGACTTAAAAGTGCAATAAAATGCAGTAAGTTTTGCTCAACAGCATATTGAATATTCGGTATTTCGGTTCTGTTACTCAATAATGGGAACTAGATAATAATCTTAGATTATTGGACGCAGCGTGGCCGAGTGGATAGGGTGCTGGATTAGTAATCCTGTGGGGCGGGTTCAAGTCCCTCCACCCTGCCACTTGCTGGACTTATTCTCGGTTGCCCTTGGTTCAACTCCTCGGCTGCGCTCTGTAAATAGCCGACTGGTCTGCTATTTGCAGTAGTGGGGATTATTTATATAATGGAAAGAGAAAGAAATATTGAAACTTAGATTTAGCGATTCACCTCTTTGCATCGGGGGATGGTCCAATGGATGGAAACGCAGCTGTTAAAAAAGATCCAGAAAAGGTTAGAAATATTATTTGACACCATGCCCTCGCATCTTAGATTAAACTTACGTCACTGAAAATAACGCTTGAAATTTGAGAGGGTATTTTTATTTTCTTGTGAAACTTTATTTAAAAATTGCACATTACTCAATTTAGCACGAGTCGACAGTTATCTAAGCTTCGTGGAAAACATTTCTCTAAAATTCTGGCGTTTGAATAAATTCACGTCGTTGTTTTCAGCTTTAGGGACATGCTAAAGAAATAAAACATTTTACTTGTTAAACAAGTTGAGGACAAACTGCAACGAATTTCGTATCTTTGCTCCTGTATTTGAGCTATAGCGTGAAACGTGATAACTGTTATTTTCGTGAAGTTCAATCGAGATGAGGAGAGCTAAAAATATAATCTCTACGAAATCCTACAATACTTACTACCAGCTGTCGGATAAACCGAGCTTGGTCTTGGTGTGGTGAAAACTAATTAAAGGGAAAAAACGTAAACGAAAACATAATACTTAAAACTATAAAAGAGACCGATGAAATAATAATTTTTTTTCATCTCTGTTCAATTTTCCAAAATATAATCTGATTAGTTCAACTGTAAACCATGATTTGAAACATAATGTCATCTGTGAAACCCTAAGAGACCAACTTTTCTTGTAGGTGAATCCTCGATTGTCTTCCATTTGTTCATGAAAGGTGATACAACTGAAGACTCAATCGAGAAGGTAAACGCGCTGCAAGGTATGATCTCTGAGAAATTCAAGTTTACTTACTAAAGGGCGGAATCGGTGGTAATGTACTGCTATTTCCTGAAAAAGCATAACTATCACAGAGAAAATGATACTTCGTAGAACGGTTTTTAATATGTACCATAATGATTTCTTTCTTTTAAACATTATGCAGATTAGATCA